TTCAGTCCCGTGGGAGCATCCTAAAAGAAATCCTGGCAGACTGTTGCAAAGACGGTCTTACCAATTCTGTGTCATTCTTGAAGAAATAGTTCAGTGCAGGAAAACAGACCCTCCCCCACCCCCACCCCCCAACCCCCGCAGCACGATCCAGTCCCCGGTAGCACGAGCACATTTCTTTATTGAAACTGGGACCCAGCAGCTTTCGGCAAAGCTTTTGCAGCGTTCGTAAATCTGACAGACTTGAAAAAGGAATATTGCAGCCCCAGAACTGTGGCTGCCAGAATTTAATGTCAACAATTAAAATTTATTTTGATCCTTACCTACTGTTTATTACTGTTTGTATACACAACAGACCTTACTAATACAGAGATGCACTATTAGATGGAATTACCATCTGTTCAGAGTGAAACGCTGGCATCTGTCTTAGATGCTAAAACTAAAATGATATTATTTCTAACAAAACAAAATTAACTGCTTTTACTCACCAACTTTAATTTCGAATGTGTGGATGCACTGAAGGAAAAGGCTGGTTGATAAAATATGTAATGACCTCTGTCGCGAGGCCTGGATGTAGTTACGTGACTTGAGCGACGGCTGCACTTGGCCTTTTTGGCACACAGGAATGGCATTCAGAAATCGCACTTTTTAAAACACCGTTTTAGCTTTATAAAGTACTAATTATAGTAAGGCATTAAAACAACACAATTATAATGTGTAAAAATGGAATCAGAGAGACCATAGGGTGCAAAATATTTTGATGGATGTTTCCTGAATATGTGCAAGGAATGAAATTAGACAAAAAAAATCATCTGAACAAAATTGCCATAGATTCCACAGTGTCGCCTTTAGGAAAATATATCTTCTCTGTGAGACTGTTTTAAATTTTATCCTACACTGACACATATAAAAGATTTATATTCAGCACCCCCTTCTTTTCTTAAGCCTCGGTATCCTATAAAAAAAGGTCTCTAGAAGTTGAAGAAATGGTAATACCAAGGACAATGGTAGTTTCCATACGGATGTTGAATTGGTGACACTACTTTCTGAGAAGCCAGATTTCAATTCTGTATGTCACCAAATAATAAATTGTGTCGCACCGGCGTTTAATGCATGTACACAGTGCATTAACTGTAACTGTAGTACATTTATTTGTGCTGGAGGAGACTTGAAAATGATGAAAAAATCAATACGTTGCTGTCAGAGAAGCAAGTGTTACGATGCATTTAAGTAGTTAATTGCAGAGGCCCCATAAAAGCTTCAAGTTTGGGTAGCAAGAATGTCATAATTACAGTCGAAGCCATTGCCTTTTATCAACGGTGGGCCTCAGGGAACGTGCCCGCCGCCTTCACCACTGCTCCTGTGCAGTTCGGCCACCAGGACCCCTCCTCCCTCTTCATGCACAGGACCCTAGCTCTGTGTGGACGATTTCCGATCCCCAGAATGGGGGCCAGCCAGGCAGGGTGTACTAACCAAGGCGGTGATGTCCCTTAAAGTCCCTGAAAGCAGGGCTTTCTGGCTTGTCCTATCGTAGAACACAGAAAAACCGTCCTATTTATACGCCGTATTGGGGCTGAGGAACTGCTGGCTGAGCGCTGATGGGGATAAGCGAATGGACGGATCCCCCGCCCAGCACCTCTCCCGGTTTACTGGTTGAGAAGCAGTGCTTGGCGATGTCCAGGCACAGCACTTCGAAACTGGAGGAGACCCTAGATGTCCTCAGGCCCACCGTGCTCCTTAACAACTGAGGCGTTGAAGAACTGAGCGGCCAAGTGATGGATTCGCCAGCGTCCCATAACGAGGGACTAAGGTGCCAGCCCAGAACCCAAGTTTTCTCCTTTTCCAGATCAGTTTCGCTATACCTGTTCCTTTGAAGGAGATTCGTACTCAAAGAAGGAAATAGAAAAATGGATTTTGTTCTTATTCTTCCCTAGTCAGAGAACAGATAGTCGATGAGGCAAGACCAAGTGATCTCTGAGAGTCTGAGGGGGGAATCTTTTCATCTTCTGATCACTTACGGGAGAGCAGGTGAAGTAGGTCAGTTGACAACTGCGTCTCAGAGAAAGAGTCAAAATTGTTTTCTGTTGACAATACCTGAGGACGTCTTATGTTAGTCTGCTCCCCACGCTCTCCTGAAATGAGGGATGGCTGCTCCTGGACCCCTGCCCTCATATTCGGAAGTTGATGATGTTTTTAAACATGGTCATGTAGTCTTCATAGACAACATACTCTTCCTTGGAAATAAATAAAGAGATTTGATTTTAAAGACCTGTCATCAGCAAGAGTTTCTGCTCATTTAGCCTTCAGTTCTTATCCAATGATGTTCAAACTCCACACTACATAAATTTTGCAAGTGTAAATTTATGCATAATGATATGCTATTAATCAGATTATAAAGTAATAAATGCTGCATAGAGAAGAATATATATTATCAAGTATTTTATAAAAGACTATTTATGAATAGAAGAGACAGACCAGAAATTGGATTACAGAGCTATTGCAAAAAATACAAGAACAATGTAATTTTATTCCAAGTAAAAATAGATATTGCATGTTGTTAATTCTTTGAAATGATCGGTATCGAAGTTCCATTGTATACTTCACATTTATAAGAAGATATTCCAAGTAGATACAGATAGACCTTGAATGTGAATGAACTATATTCTTTATCATATCCAATTTGAAAGATATGTTATTGGGTAGTAATAACAGTGCCTTGTATTGATATGGAATTTTGTTTTGTAAAAGTTAAAGCAATTATGTATATGGTTTTTAAATGCAGTTATTGTCAAAATAGTCTACTGAGAACTTATCCTGTGTCATAGATGGGAAAACTGAGGCAGATGTGTTTTAAATGATTTTTTAAAAATCATGCAGAATTAGAAATTAGTAAATGAAATTTAATCTTTAAAAGTCTGCAGAGTCCTTTTCATGCTTCTGTGTGGCCTCTGAATTTACTGATGTGAGATGAACAAATTTATACCTATAACCCCCTCACTCTGGGATCTGACAGATAATCTTTTATTTCCCTTCTCTCAGTGATTTTGTGTTTGTGAGCATGTGTTTAAGAGTTCAGGAGTGTCTCTTTTTCTTCTCATCATCCTCCGTGTGTGTGTGTGTGTGTGTGTGTGTGTGTGTGTCCAGTCTGAATTGGGTCTTCCAGATTAGATACTACAGCATACCAGCTGGAAGGTTGTTTGGTTTGGTTCTGTGCTTTTTTTGGTTTTTGGTTTTTTGTTTTTAAGCAAAAGAACTGAAAAAAAAAATACCCTAGTTTGACTCATTCTCGGTAGCTCGCTTCCTAAGACCAGACTCATTCCTGGGTGGAAGGCTTTCCCTACGAGTCTCAGTGCTCCACTACTTGGTAGAGTCCAAATAGTCAACATTAATTTTAGTGTTGAAACGGGAAGAGATCCCTTCTGGGATGCCTATCATGTGAACGTTTGAGCACTTGATGTTATCCTAGAGGCTCCTCAAACTATCCTCATTTTTAATTTTTTTTCCTGCTATTCTGATTGGTCACTTTCAACTCATCCGTCTCCCACATCTCTGATCTGTTCTTCTCTGTTAGCTAATCTGCTGTTGAGTTCTTCTAATGTCTTCCTTCCTTCTTTCCTTCCTTCCTTCCTTGCTTCCTTCCTTCCTTCCTTTCCTTAATTTCAATTACTGTATTCTTCAGATGCGCTTGATTCTTTCTTACACTTTTTCTTCGTGGAAATTCTTCTTAAGTTTCTCTCATTTGATTAGCATCCATATGACCGTTTCTTTGAATTCTTTCTTAGGCAAGTTACTTATTTTCATTTCCTTGGGGTTTCTATTTTTTCTTGTTCCTTCATTTGAGAGATATTTTTTTCTGTGTTTTCATTTTGTTTGACTTTCTATGTTTGCTTATATCAATGAGACAAAATAGCAGTGTCTCCCAGTCTTGGGCACGTGGCCTCTATAGAAGCTGGCCTTGTGTCAGCAGTGTGGGCCACGTGGCTTTGGCAGGGGATAGGAGCGTGGGGCCAGGTGCCTGAGGGGTGCTGAGCTGCACGGTGCTGGGTGGAGAGGCCAGGTGCCCCCTGTAGGAATGGCGAACGGATCCTGATTGCCCCCTTGGTTTGGTGCGGTGGGCTTCCCGAGCCCTTGCAGGCGCGCCGGGGCACCTGGCGAGAGGCCCCGCCCACCCCTCGCAGGTGCACGTGAGCGGTTGCGTCTGGGGAATTTCCACAGCTCCCGGAGAGCTGTGTGGGCTCCCCGGCCTTCCCTGTAACGTCTCTCTCGTGTCTGTTGTAGCCGAAGTGGCCCCTCGTGGGAGGGACCTGTGTGTGTAGAAGAGCCCACGCGCCGGGTAGCTTTAGGAAGCTGCTGGGAGCCCGCCCGGTACACGCTCCCAGGGCCCCAGACGCCAGGCGGCAGGGAGGGCAGCCCTGGGCGGGCAGGCCCGGGAGGCCCTGCTGCCCCTGTCCGCTGCTCCCTGGGCTCCGAGGCAGGTGGCCCCGGGCAAGGCCGCTGTGGAGGAGAGGCTGCGTGGTCCCGCAGGTAGGTCAGAGCCCCCGGGCGGGGCACCTGCGCCCTGAGCGAGGTGGAGGGCGCCTGGACCAGGATGCTTGCACAGGGAGCCCCCGCGGCCCGCGGGGGGCACCCCAGCGCCCCGGCCCCAGCCTTTTTCTTCCCTCCTTTTCTCTCGTTTGTCATCAGAGCCCGTCAGTGCAGGGCTCAGTTGCCTCAGCAGTCGCCGCCTCTGTCTGCGTCTCTTTCGTTTCGCTCACGGGAAGGGGTGAGTGGAGCATCCTCTAAGCCACTGCCATCTTCTGTTAGTCGTTTTAAACTACGCTTGTTCCCATTGCAGATAAACTCTGTCTTGTGTTTTTCGTTCCTAGAACCGCCTGCACACTGGAGAGCCCAGCGGATTTGGTTTTGAGTGTGAAATGCACAAGTGCCTGGGGCCATGCCTGTGTGTCTGTGTCTAGAGACAGGAACCACTTTCTCGAATGTAACAGGTGTTCTCTAACCTTCAGCACCGGCCCGGCTGCGCCCACCTCTGCTGGAAGCGCTCGGCAGCACCGCCATCTGTGCCCGGTGGCTCCCTCCTGAAGAACTGAACGGCCCCGCGCCGGTCTATCGGCTGGAGAGGAGAGAGGTCTCGCTCCCGGCTCCCGGGGCCACCGTGGTGACGGGGACACGCTTCCCAGGACACGGGTATTACAGGTTTCCCAGCTCCACCCACCCCGCTGGGACAGGCTTTACGGGTAAGCGGGTCTGAGGTCCCTTTATGGAAGAGGCTCAAAGACCCAAAGTATTTTCTATTATTTCGGTATCCCTTTACAATGAATTTGTACTCTGCCTGTTTATAGAAATAATAATTCACTCCTCTGATAACTTTAGCTTGAATGTTTAGCTAACATGTGGACCTTTTTAGTATTCTGGGGAGAAAAATTTGGGGTAAGTAGAGGAAAGAAAAAAAAAGATGAGGAAAGGCTGTATTGTTGGGTCAAAGTATGTGCTAAAAGTATGGTTCTCGGACACAACTTGCCCAACGTTGGTATCAGAATAGTATTCACTGGCTCTGAAAAAGTTCCAGGGGCAGGTGAGTGTGAGAAATGCCCCATGCTCTTGGAGGTTCTCCATACACATCCTGTTATGGAAGCCTCTAGAAAAATATAGGGAGGCTCTTTAACTTTGTTCGGATAGGTATCCCTAATACTTATATGATTTCACGTAAAAAAACAAAAACAAAAACAACTATTAATACCCCATGGCCTGTGGAGAGCATTACAAAAAAAAAGTTATTTCAGGAAAACCATACCTTCTGTAGGCCAGCGCTGGAGTAATGGAAGTGAGGCCTTTGCTTCAGGCACAGCATGTAAAAGCAGCAGAAAACTCTGTGATCAATATCAATACTATTTCAATGCAGTAATTTTTAAATGAAAATCAATGCAGAGTAATCTCCAATAAAATATCAAAAATTTAAGTAGAGGCGGAGTCCAAACCTGCCTCATTTTCTTCCCCAACTCCTGGTCTTACTGCTGCTACAATGTTCTGGACATTCTGTTACCTATGTGATTCATGGTATATAAGAGCACTGCTTCACTATAGATGTAGAAAACTGTAACTCTTGGTAATTCCTACTTCACTTTCCTGATTTGCAAAGTATAAGATTTGTGTTATTCTGAAACCTCATAATGCTGTTAATTTAACCTGCGAGAACGTCACTTTGGAGTAAATAGCTTGGCCTTTAGAACGTTGCCTAGGTTGAGGGTAGTGGAATGGAATTTGCATTATAAAAGGTAGCTCCAGCATCATTGTTTCCTTTTCGCCTAACTTAGGAAACAGTTTGCTCTTAAGTGAGGCTGGCTGCTGGTGTGGGTTTGTAATGAACAGTGCGGGCCTCCAGCTGAGAGGTGTTGGGATTAATGAGTGTGTAAGTGCTGGCCCTAGTCCACTGGCCTCTCCACTGAGAGTAAGTCAGCCATTGAGCTCCTCTCAGATTGAGCCTTCTGCTTGCTATTTGTAAAAGTCAAAGAAAGGAAGGAAAAGAAAAAAAACAAAACACAACAGATATCTAGACAAGAACCTGAGGATTAAAAGTACAACTTTTTTCTCAAATGGAACTAGAAACTCTCCCTGGCCCCACACACGGCTGGCGACGTGTCTCTTCGAGGGGACAGCATCCATGTCCCGTGCTTGGGTATAGCCCAGCGCGCGTGTCAGCTTGCATTTGCTGGCGAGCTGGCAGACAGGTTTTTGATGGGATCACCTCCTGTTGCAGCAGCGAAAGATAGAGTGGCTTGTCCACCGTTAACACGTTTAGTCGTCTGCGCTGTCTCCCGAGCCGGCCTGACACTCTGAGGGGCTAGGGCTCGGGGCAGATGTAGTGTCTGGGAAGATTTCCAAATCCTGCTTTAAAAAAGTTAGGCCGTTAGCACCGGCCCCACTAAACAGGGTCCTTCTGTCTATAACGAAGCCTCCAGCTGCACAGAAAATGTGTTTGGAGAGTGCGTTACTTGAAGGACAAGGCAGGGAGATCACGATTTTGGCTGGAACTGCTCCCTGGAGCTTTGGGGATTCTGGGTGTGGGGGCGGGGGGCAGCGAAGGGACTCCTTTGCTTTGGGGCACGCTCTGCAGCCACGCTGGCCCCTTACAGTAGCAGCTTGGTCTTACTCGTAAGGCTCTCTTTTACTTTAAAAGTAATCGGTCTACATCAAGTTAATGAGTTTGTTTCTTAAAAAGATTGTTTTTCCATTACAGTTGACATTCAATATTATTTTAGTTTCTGGTGTATAGCATAACGATTAGAAATTTATATAACTTACACAGCAATCCCACCGATAAGTCTAGTACCCACTCGACATTATACACATTACAGTAGTATTGCAATTACAATATTATTAACTATAAAGTTGTACTTTACGTCCCCATGACTGTTTTGTAACTACCCATTTGTACTTCTTGATCCCATCACCCTTTGTCACCCTGCCCCAACTCTCTGCCATCTGGCAACCATCAGTTCTTTGTATCTGTGTGTGTGTTTCTGTTTTGTTTATCCATTTATGCTGTATTTAAGGTGCCACATGTAAGTGAAATCATATGATACTTGTCTTTCTCTGACTCACTTATTTCATCCAACATAATACTCTCTGGGTCCCTCCATGTTGTGACAAATGGTAAGATTTCTTTTCTTTTCATGGCCAAGTAATATTCTATTGCATACATGCTTCCTCTTTACCTAATTTTCTATCGATGGACACTTGGGTTTCTCCCATATCTTGGCTAGTATAAATGATGTTGCGGTGAACATAGCATATGTTCAAGTTAGTGTTTGGCATGTCTTCAAATAAATACCCAGAACGGGGATTGCTGGGTCACGTGGGACTTCTATTTTGAATTTCTTGGGAAACCTCTGCACTGTTTTCCATAGTGGCTGCACCGGTCTACAGTCCCACCAAGAGTGCATGAGGTTCCCTTTTCTCCACATCTTCACCAATACTTGTTTGCTGATTTATTGATGATAACCATTCTAGGCGGGAGTGATACCTCGCTGTTGTTTTGATTTGCATTCGTCTGCTGATTAGTGACATTGAGCATCTTTTCATATGTCGGTTGGTCAGACCATCTGTATGCCCTCTTTGGAGAAGTCTCTTTTTGGGTCCTCTGCCCTCAAATTATTGGTTTGATTTTCTGGCTCAGCTGGCATGTTTGGCTGAGTAATTTGAGGTGTGTCATGGTTGAATGAAATGTACCCAGTTAATGAACTAGACATTTTACCAAACCAGCATTTCTTATCCATGCATCTTCTTAACTAGAGGGTACATTTATAATTAGCAGCTTCATTTGTTTTTTTATATGTCCCCTCATTGCCCTGTAAGGCGTTTTTACCCTCATGATGTACAGGAAAGGAGGCTCCGATAAGGGGTTTGCACGTAGCAGAGCTACTGCATTTCACGATTGAAGTGTAAATTGGAGGCTTTTGCTTCAAAAGCTGGTGCTTTTGCCAAGGAAATGGGATGGAGCACATGGGGACAGTTCTCCGGAAGCTGTGGAACAGGAAGTGTTTAATGGATGGGATGGGAGGTGCAATGTTGATTACCCAAATATTCCTTAGCCAGCATTGCTAACCTTTTTGGATTTTTTTTCCCAGTTGTTAGCTTTTCAGGTAACAAACTGTAAATGGTCTTGCTGTTATTCATTTGTAAGCCCAAAGCAATTGAGGATCAGCTTGCCTTCCCCCCCCCCCGCCCCCATAGCGCTTCATTCCAAAGTGTTACTTGGAGCTAGGTATATAACATCTAATGAAATTATTTTAAATCAGTTCAAATACTGTGTATCAAATGGTCCTTTCAGCTCACATTCTTGTATATTTTATGCAGTTTTTATGTTCTGAGGCAAAATTAATGAGCAAATCCTGGAAATCTCTAAAATGATCAGTTATATTTAGAAAGTGAATAATTACAAATAGGGCTTAGGTGGTTTTTATTTTGAATTATTTATTTCAAAAATCTCAAACTCTTAACTACAACAATTCCTGAAATTTGAATGGAAATCTCAAGTAACACTCAAAAACAAATATATGGTGATATGTATTATTATATATATGCTATATATGAAAAGTTGTCAGATTTAACCCATAAATGATAAGTATTATAAATACATGCATAACTTATTACATGTTCTTGAGCAAAATATTGAATATCTCAATACAGACTATCTTATTTTTGCAGTTCAAGAAAAGTCTCTTTATATAACTCACTCACCCCTCTTCCTTATTTGCTTTAAATATTTTACCTCATATGATGTAATGAAAACAATTAAAACATATCAATATATGTTCTAACATGTTTAATATTGCAAATTATTAAGCTTAGTATTGTAAATAAACTGTCAAAATCTTCCTTTTGGCAGAAATATAACCACATGAACCTCTTTTTTCCCTATGTGGCCGTTTTTCCTTTCTGATTCAGTGTCCTCTTAAAACTTGAATTTCCAGGAAGAGTGTATTATCAGTCATTTACATCATAGTATAAATTAAAGATCGTCTATTAACTTCCTCACTTCTATATTAAGAGTGGAGGATTTGGGAGCAAACTGATAATTTTCAGGTCCAAGCTTCATTATTTATTAGCTAAGTGTAATTAGACAAACCACAAAATCATTTTACTGACTGTTTCCTTCTTTTTTAAATTGGGATAATAATGCTACTTGTTATATTGATATCTAGCAGGTAGGATAGGATTAAAGGAGCTATCCCACCTCATAAACTTTGCACAGTGCCTGCCACACAGATTAGTTAACAGTCATTAAACATTTGCTGTTAACTATTACTTGTTTAACAAATATTGAGTGCTGATGAGGAGACAGGAGTTTTTCTGAGGGTCTTCTGCAATTTATAAAATCAATATTCTATTAATTCATCTGCTGTTGTGCATACAAAATATGTTTGCCTAAATATTATATGTGGAGTATGAGTAATATGCAATATTCTATATTAAAATGTGGTATTTAGTTGTGTTCCTTAAATGGTAAATGAATCCACCTCATGTCGAGATATTGGATACATTACGTCTCTATGAGTGTGGTCACGCTCCCTTGTACAATTGAGGGGGGACCAAATGACCAATGCCCTCAGCTTCTGGAATTCCAAATCTGTGACTATAGCGTATTTAAGTAGCTGCAAAAATTCAAAATAGAGCTTATTACCAAGGCATCTGTGAGTTTAAAAACACCTACATTTTAAAACAGATTGTTCAGTCG